CCAGATCGAGGGAGATTATCAGTGGTCTTGTATGTCTTCCATTTCCTAATAATTGCTCCCACAGTTGATTTCTTCAAACCAAGCTGCTTACCTATTGAAGATTCAGTCTTCCCAGCCTGGTGCAGGTCTACAATTTTGTTTCTGGTGTCCTTTGACAGCTCTTTGGTCTTGGCCATAGTGGAGTTTGGAGTGTGACTGTTTGAGGTTGTGGACAGGTGTCTTTTATACTGATAACAAGTTCAAACAGGTGCCATTAATACAGGTAACGAGTGGAGGACAGAAGAGCCTCTTAAAGAAGAAGTTACAGGTCTGTGAGAGCCAGAAATCTTGCTTGTTTGTAGGTGACCAAATACTTATTTTCCACCATAATTTGCAAATAAATTCATTAAAAATCCTACAATGTGATTTTCTGGAGAAAGAAATTCTCAATTTGTCTGTCATAGTTGACGTGTACCTATGATGAAAATTACAGGCCTCTCTCATCTTTTTAAGTGGGAGAACATGCACAATTGGTGGCTGACTAAATACTTTTTTCCCCCACTGTATCTAGATCCTCTATGAGGCTGTGGAGGGATTCAAGTTGTGGATTTAAAAGAACATGAATCCTCAGCGTATAATGACAACTTTGTTTTTAAGCCCTGGATTTCTAATCCCTTGATATTATTGTTGAATCTGATTTTAATAGCTAATATTTCGATGGCCATAATAAATAGATATGCCGATTGTGGACAACCTTGTTTCACTCCTCTTGGCAGTTTAAAACTTTCTGAGAAATAGCCCTTATTTACAATTTTACACCTATACATGTACATGATTTTAACCCATTTTATAAGAGATTATCCAAAATTGAAATGCTCCAGGCATTTATATATAAACTCCAGTCGTACTTTATCAAACGCCTTTTCAAAGTCGGCTATGAATAGCAGGCCTGGTTTCCCAGATTTTTCAATGTTCTAATGTTTCCAGTACTTGCCTTATATTATCTCCAATGTATCGTCCATGTAAAAAACCTGTCTGATTAGAATGAATAATGTCCAACAATACCTTTTTAATTCTATGCTCTATAGATTTTGCTAGAATCTTTGCATCACAATACTGAAGTGTAAGGGGCCTCCAATTTTTTTAATGGACTGGATCTTTATATTTCCCACTTGTATCCTGTTTCAGTACTTATTGGATGACATGTGTCCCAGTAATGCCTAGCGAAAACCAAACACTGCATTCCAGAGTAAGAACCACATACCAACGGTCAAGCATGGTGGTGGTAGTGTGATGGTTTGGGGATGCTTTGTTGCCTCAGGACCTGGATGACTTGCCTTAATAGAATGAACCATGAATTCTGCTCATTATCAGAGAATTATACAGGAAAATGTCAGGCCATCCATCTGTGAGCCGAAGAGCAGTTGGGTCATGCATCAAGACAATGATTCAAAATACACAATTAAGTCTACATGAAAATGGCTGAAAAGCAACACATTTGAAGTTTTGGATTGGCCTAGTCAAAGTCCAGACCTACTGCCAATTGAGATGTTGTGGCAGGACTTGAAATGAGCAGTTCATGCTTGAAAACCCACAACCCACTTTTTCACACAGGGGAATTGGGTGTTGCATAACTTTGTTAATTAAATAAATGAAATAAGTACAATTTTTTTTGTTATTTATAAACTCAGGTTCCCTTTATCTAATATTAGGTTTTGGTTCAAGAGCTGATAACAAATATGCAAAAATTGAGAAAATCAAGATAGGGGGAAAATACTTTTTCACGCCACTGTATATATATTTAACACCTCGCCAATGTTTTGTTGAAATAACCCTTGGCCCTAAGTCCTTTATGGAGTGGCTACTTGCGGATGTTTGATAATGTTAATCACTCGAGTCTGCCACTTTTCTGGGCAAAATTAGAATTGAGACGATCAGAGTACACTTGTATCCCAACTGCAACTTGTCAATATTCCAAAACCTATTCACGAGCATCTTGTATCCCCCCACGACCTGTTTTGCAACATGATTCCCTATGAAACACTGACAGACAGACGCACAGTTTGGTGATAGATAGTTAGAAAGTTCAAAAAAACTAAACGGCACCGAAGCACACACGTCGCCACTCACCAGTGACTTGATAAACGGATTGTGGCCTGGCTGCTCAATGTGCCTGCTAGCTACTACTTGCTAGCTTCATTGCCAAACACAGAGTTGGAACTTAGATAGCTAGCAAGTGATTTTGGGCACTGATAAACAGCGTGTAGCTTGTGCTTAATTTACGATAGTTTGACATCTTGCAAATTATTAAGTTGTAGACGTTATTGTTGTCAGAAATTGTAACAACCTAAGCATTACAAAATGACTATTCTACTCAAATAAGCCATACGTAGAAAATAAGCCATTATTTTTGTTAACCAAATTCGACATTCTCTCATTGACCTTCATACAAAAACTCATCGATCCCATCCGTGCTGGAGAAGACAGATTTTGGGCTCAGTTATCATTCTCGCTTTGCCTCTTCCTCTCAGGTCAAATGCATTTGGTGTGTCATCATAATGGTCTCTGACTTGTACTATTAGTATTCATTTGGTGTGTCATCATAATGGTCTCTGACTTGTACTATTAGTATTCATTTGGTGTGTCATCATAATGGTCTCTGACTTATGGTCAGACTTGTAGTATTAGTATTTATTTTTTGTTGTTGTATTGTTTACATTTACATTACATTTTAGTCATTTAGCAGACGCTCTTATCCAGAGCGACTTACAGTTAGTGAATACATATATATATTTTTTCATATATACTGGCCCCCCGTGGGAAACGAACCCACAACCCTGGCGTTGCAAACGCCATGCTCTATCAACTGAGCTACATCCCTGCCGGCCATTCCCTCCCCTACCCTGGACGACGCTGGGCCAATTGTGCGCCGCCCATGAGTCTCCCGGTCGCGGCCGGCTGCGACAGAGCCTGGATTCGAACCAGGATCTCTAGTGGCACAGTTAGCACTGCGATGCAGTGCCTTAGACCACTGCGCCACTCAGGAGTACGTTGTTTGTATATCGTTGTATTTAACATTTGTGTGACTTTCCTTGTCTATCAGTGTCTCAGTGTTTTGTTACTTCTCATGTTTTGTGTTTTTTTGTGGACCCCAGGAAGAGTAGCTGCTTCTGCAAAAGCTAATCGCGATCCGAATAAACCAATAGACTTGATCAGGTGGAACAAACTTAAATGTGCGCCTTTTTTCAATGCTGAATTGAATGTCATTGAGAAAACAGAAAGGTGTCATAATGTATCCTTTCTGAATTTAAAAGAAATGTTTTCAAAATCATCTGGAATCTGATTATTAATATTTTTCGCTGGTAAGGTACCTGATTACAGTTACCAGTTTTTTGTAATCTGATTTAATGTAACTGACCCTTCCCTTAACCCACGTGCCACGGAGGTTTGAGTGTCTGCGGGTTTTTGCTCCTCCCTTGTACTTGATTGATGAATGATGGTCACTAATTAGTAAGTAACTCCCCTCACCTGGTTGTCTAGGTGTTAATTAAAAGCAGGGGCGCAACTTTCACTGGGGACGGGGGGACGGACGGGGACGGGGACGGGGTGGATTTTTGTCCCCCCCAGTTTTATCATTGGAATGTGATACAAAACGATGCCCCGGTGTGCTTTAGGACCATGCGGACGCCTCCGAGCGGTTGGTAGGCTGTTTGGAGTGTTAATCTGACTGGATTAAAAAATATATATATATTATATTATGCCCCCCCTCCCACTTCTAAAACCAAAGTTGCGTCTCTGATTAAAAGGAAAAACCTAAATCCCACAGACACTACATTTCTACTTCAATGGGGTGATGTCAGAGTTGGACGTCCCAAGGATTCCTGATAGCAAGGACACTTCTTAAATGACCGTAAAAAACATCTAATAACATGTTTATAGTTTGCTGGTAAACCAGCCAATCACTGTCATAGTGTACATCCCGCCCACAGCCTAAATGGTTACATTTCCAGTTCGTGTATTTTGGGATTCAAAATCAAGTTTACTGGATATATTGTATACCTGTACTGGGAAGGTTTAAGTTTCCAAAATATGAAGTATTCATATATATAAAGTATTAAAGATGTTGAACCTCATCATGTTATTTTTCTTTGCCTCGTCAAAAAAGTGACGCGAGATCTCAAATTCCTTTGCGCATAATCGCTTCTATTTACGGTTCACTATTTTCATCACTTCCGGCCATAACACCTATTTTTAGTTTGTTGCATCGAAGATTGTCTATTATATTGACAAGATGTTCGAGTTACTACTCTAACAACGGAAATACATGTCCTCAAAGATGGAAGGCAGGCGGGAGGAGGCGAGATCAGGTGGGACCATTCTAGCCAATGAGCGGGCAGAAACGCGTGTGAACAGCCATAGAGATAGATGGAGGACTCATCTTTGTATCTGTGCCATTGTAGCGTCCGTGACAGCATGGGCAGCGCCATTGAGTCTGTCTCCATTTTAAAGTAGTTACTTTTTTTTTTTTCACTTCATTGGCTGATTGCTCCCAACTCATAGAAATCACCACCAAGTTGATTACTTTAAAATGATGGAAGCCCTCAATGGCACTATTATATCCATGATGACGCCTCTATCTAGCTCTATGACAACTCAGATATAGTCGTTTTCCCCCCCCTAAATTGCCACATGGGTTCACTTATATCAGTACATTCATAACAACCTAACCATTACGAAACGTCTATTCTTTCAAATAAGCCTCACGTAGCAAATTACCAATTAATTTTTTTGCTGACCAAATTCGACATTCTCTCGTTGACCTCCGTACAAAAATTCCTCACTTCGTGGGCTTATTTTCTTGGACAGAGTTTGGGTGGACTAAAAGCTCTCGCTTCGCCTCTTCCTCTCTGTAGCTGCACAGAACTACACGGTTCACATTGTTGCTAGCATATTTAAACCAAATTATTAGCATATTACTTAGATACAAAGTTTCAATCATCTGCAGAAGCAAACGTTTGAAAATGTTAAGCAGTGTTTCTCTCCGGGCTCAGATCGCTTCCATCATAGAGTTACTTTCTAAAGCTGCGGTTGCAGAAATTAGCAAAGTAGTCGACGATGGCATAGTTGTGTTACGTGTGGAAATGTGTCAACGGGAAAATGAAATCAACGTCCTGAAAAAGACTGTACAACAACTTGACAGCGAGCTTCGAAGAGCTCGAGGGATTCAAGCTCGAAAACGCATTCATCATGGTCGATCAGTCGCTGCTGGGAATCTTGGGAGAGGTGGGTCGACGTAGTAGCAATAACTCTTTTACAATCAATCAATAGTTATCAATAGCTAACTATGCACGTGACGTAACATTAGTCAGCCACCAATATTACACATTTTGCAGGTAAACAATGTAACTAGGCCTATTTAATCAGCCTGCTCGCGTTCAGACTGCGCTTAGCCCAGGGCTAACGTTAATCATTTTCAGTCTGAAGGCCTCGTGTGTCTTCCAGTCATATCTCTGACTGTCCAATGGGACGGGAGATGAATAGGAAAGACTATCATTATAACCAACTCCGTGGTCAGAGTGCAGGCCTACGCCCTGAGATTGGAAGGTTGGGGGTTCGACCATAGAGACTCTCTCTCTGCTTGGCACTCAGCATTAAGGAGATGGATTTAGGGGTAATGTCCCCACAACAGACTAGTATCCTGTCCAGGGTGTGTACTTGTACATCCAGCTATAGAAACAGGAGACTTGTGAAATCAAATCATTACAAACCATTACACCCTTCTTTGACACAACTGTCCCACAGGCACACATTCATTTAGATTACTATTAAAACAAACAGTGAATGATTTTTGATGACTGACACACAATACTTATTCATTTCCACAGGGCCTGGTAAAAGTGGTACCACTTGTGTGGGGAGGACGTCGCCTGAGGAAGACGGTAATGAAAAGGATGAAGGCGTTCGACCTGCGGATGAGACTCCAGTGAAGACGGAGCCAGGAGAGGAGGAGGGTGACCAGGAAGAGCACACTGCAGGGAGAAAAGACAAGGAAGCATCATGCAGCAGTGTTTCGTTTCCAGGGAAACCATATTTAGAGTCAGATGTCAGACAGGATATGATTTTACAGCTCAGACAACAACAACATTATCGTCAGTCAGATGCGCTCAGGGGAACAAGCGACGGCACAGTAAAGTCAAACCCAGACCCTCAAAGCGTATTCGGTTTTGGCCCTAATTATAATACCGCAAGGAGAGCGAGGACCAATAGGTTTTGCCAGGTTAATAAACACTTCATTTGCACACTGTGTGGAAAGAGTTTTGAACGTTACGGTCATCTTGAAAGACATCTGCGAATTCATACGGGTGAGAAACCGTACAGTTGTGACATATGTGGAAGGTGTTTCAACCAGAAGGGTAGCCTCAAAGGGCATCTGAAGACTCACAGAGGTAAGATACTAGAATCACTTCATAGGTTATAGGTCAAAGACAATTCCATGCCTGTGTACCAAATAACCTATTCCCTATTTAGTGCACTACTCTACTTCTGACTAGGGCCCATAGGACTCTGGTCAAAAGTAGTGCATCATATAGGGAATAGGATACTGTTTGGGACACATTCACTACATAATGACATCCAATATATTGGTTATTATAGGACATAAACAATTCTATGCCTCCATTGTTTTATTAATCCATTTTCCACACAGTATCGATGGACGGACTAGCTAACAACGAGGAGAAGCCTTCCCTGGATAGACGTCAGTCTGAGGAAGAGCAGTGCAACGAAAAGGACGAAGTGATCCAAACTGCTCCTGAAATGCCTATGAAGTCTGAGCCAGGGGAGGAGAAGGATGCATCCCAGATACTGGATCATAAAGCAGAAGAACAGACTGCAGGGAGAGCAGAACATCAACTGGATGAGGAACTGTCAATGTACGAGAGAGACAGCCAGCCGTGGATGTCCGGTTCACAAGCAGACAATGATATAGAGATGAGCAATTCAGAATATTTCAGCAGTTCAGGTCAGAACTCCCAGTGTCTCACTGATCACTCTCCTGTCCCAGGAATGGCGGAGGCGTCATGCAGCAGTGCTTCATCTCCAGGGAAACCATATGTAGATGTCAGAGAGGATATGATTTTACGGGTCGGACAGCAACATTATGGACCTTCAGACACACTCTTGATAGCAAGTGACGGGACAGTACAGCCAAACTCACAGGGCATGGACGGGGCTTCTCTGAACCATCAGCCCATCTTCTCTGGTTTTCCAAGGAAAGTTAAAACCTTCCAAGGAGTCACCAAGGACAAGAAGTGCTTCATCTGCTCATTCTGTGGGAAAGTTTTTGAGCGTGTTGGTCATCTGGAAAGGCACCAGCGAATTCATACGGGTGAGAAACCGTACAGTTGTGACATATGTGGAAGGTGTTTCAACCAGAAGAGTAGCCTCAAAGGGCATCTGAAAACTCACAGAGGTAAGGGACGAGGATAATATTGATGTGTTTTCATACTTTTAATACATGAAAAAGGTTAACTCTTAAGTGCGTAAATCAGTCAATTATTCTGTAATTAACAGACAGTATGCCTGTTATATCATTATATAAGGCTGTGTCCTTAATGACACCCGATTCCCTTCATAGTGCACTACTTTTCACCTGGGCCCATAGGGATCTGATCAATAGTAGTGCACTACATACAGAATAGGGTGCCATTTGGGACACAAAGTGTTTTCCCTTTCTCTATCAGTGGTTTATGATGAAGTTAAACAGTTCACGTTGGATGATTTACATTGTTTGAATTGCCGTATTGTTGTTAAAATCTATGCTAAAATACTTCATACTCTTTTCCTGTCAAGCAGACGGTGCTGACATGCTAACGGGACAACCTCCGCTTGATGATGAGAAGCCTGACGTTTATCCTAGACCCTCGGAGAACCCAGAGGAACCGACGGATCAGCCCCCACCTGCTGAAGCACAGCCTGTCTGTGGGCACAGTGAGGAGGAGGGCAGGGGGCAGGGCTTGGTGGGGAAAGCGGAGCAAGAGAAACAGTTTGGATCCCAGATACTCAGTCAGTCAGGACATCAACACCAACAAACCACAGAGCGACCAGGTTATCAGGACGACCCAGAGTATGTCATGGATGGGAGGGAGACGCAGCTGTGTAGATCTTTCACAGAGAGGCACAGTGATACCGAGTCTGGATCAGTACATCCAGGTTGCTCCTCCGATGTGACAAAGCAGCAGAATTCCCATCCTGTTTCACCCAGTGTCAAATACCATCCCAGTCCTTTTGATGGACTGCACCAGCAGCACCACCACCAGGGGTTCTATACGTCAGCTTCTAGAGAGGTGGAACTTGAAGACTTGTCTTTTCAGGATGAGGAAGACAAGCTGGATATGATTGAGGAAGAGCAGTATGCAGGGATGGCTCTACATGCAAGGAACAGGGAGGATGCTGATGAGAGAATACTACCCAGGTTTCAGGACCGGGCACCACCTCCACCACTTCCTGTAGAGGAGGAAACAGCGATGAGAGAGTACATCACAGAACCAAACTACAGTCAAGAGGGAATTTTATTTGCCCTTGGTATAGACAGTTTTGACAGTACAGAGGGCAGCAGTGCCAGTGCCACCACAGACGACACCAGAAATAGATGTTTCATATGCTCCTTTTGTGGAAAGAGTTTTGATCGCCACAGTCATTTTGAAAGACACCAGCACACTCATACAGGTGAGAAGCCCTACAGCTGTGAGATATGTGGTAAGAGTTTCACTCAGAAGAGCAGCCTGAAAGCTCATCAGAGACTTCATACAGGTTAATCAAGGGCCAAAGAGTCTTGGTTTGCGTTCCGAATGGCACCCTATTCCCTATTTAGTGCACTACCTTTGACCAGGGCCCATACAGTGAGGGGGGGGAAAAAGTGTTTGATCCCCTGCTGATTTTTTTACGTTTGCCCACTGACAAAGAAATGATCAGTCTATAATTTTAATGGTAGGTTTATTTGAACAGTGAGAGACAGAATAACAACAAAAAAATCCAGAAAAACGCATGTCAGAAATGTTATGTTTGTTGTTATTCTGTCTCTCACTGTTCAAATAAACCTACCATTAAAATTATAGACTGATCATTTCTTTGTCAGTGGGCAAACGTACAAAATCAGCAGGGGATCAAATACTTTTTTTCCCTCACTGTAGGTCTCTGGTCAAAATAAGTGTACTATACAGGAAATGGATTATAATTTGGTACGCACCCTTACTGAAAGTTGTTTCGTCCTCATCAAAACTCAATCGACACCAGTTAATGAGTATGTGACATTTGTCTGCTATTGGTAACAAGTTGATGGTGTTGCAACAGTTTAGAAGTACAACTAAATTGTGATGATAAAACGTCATATTTGTTTGAAATGGTTGATTCCAGTACACTATTCAAATGCTGGGGCTATGGAAAATGAACATTTTTAGTAGTTCTTAGTTTATAATGTTGTCATCAGGTATCTCTCCCAATAATGTATAAAGAAAAAACGATTTCATTATTCAAATGTTTTCGTATCTTCCTGCATCAAACTTATGGATCATTGATTCAATTTAACATATCTTTTACATATCTTGTTTTGTGTGTGAAGATGTTGGTGGTAGGGGTTGCCTATTACTCAATGGGTATGTTTACATGCACAGTAATAATTAGATATTAAACTGATTATGGCAGTAGACAGATTATGCAATAGTCATGTAAATACCTTACATACGCCGATTAAAACACCGAGTTTTCTGAGTAATCTTGCTAATTATTAGGACACCTTGAGGCCATGCACCACAGGCTGAAATTACATTTTTGCATTTACCTATCAATTTTGATATTTGTTGGTATTTTGGTCAATTTTTTTATATTAGTATTTTCAAAAAGTAAACACAAATATAAATAACTTAAATACATTTATATTTTCTTTCGTTTATCATCCTACCGTCATCAACAGTTTTATGAATTTTAACGACTTTAAAATCGACATGCATCAATCATTTCAAAGTTCACTACACTGAATTACACAATTTCAAAGCCCATTTTATAGAGAATGTTACAAACTGGACTACATTTAGTAACTTACTTTGAGATGATGATTGGGTTCTAAACAGGCTTTTGACGATTGGTAGTCTTAATTCAGTGTACTTGTCTTTAACTGTCATTTCCTGAAAGTCAGACTCTTCCCACACGCAAACTAATTTTTTTCAGCTTTAGAAGCATCTGCATTCACCAAATTGTGTGTGGTTATCCTTAGATACAGTTCCTTCTGAAAGTATTCAGACCCCTTGACTTTTTCCACATTTTGTTACATTACAGCCTTATTCTAAAATAGATTAAATAAAATAAATCTCAGCAATCTACACACAATACCACATACTGACAAAGCGAAAACAGGTTTTTTAGAATGTTTTGCTAATAAAACAAAAAAAAGCTTCGGGACAAGTTTCTGAATGTCCTTGAGTGGCCCAGCCAGAGCCCGGACTTTAACCTGATTGAACATCTCTGGAGAGACCTGAAAATAGCTGTGCAGCAACGCTCCCCATGCAACCTGAGAGCTTGAGAGGATCTGCAGAGAAGAATGGGAGAAACTCCCCAAGTACAGGTGTGCCAAGCTTGTAGCGTCATACCCAAGAAGATTCAAGGCCGTAATCGCTGCCAAAGGTGCTTCAACAAAGTACTGTGTAAAGGTTCTGAATACTTATGGAAATGTGATATTTCCGTTTTAATTTTTTTATACATTTGCACAAATGAAAAAAAAAAACTGTTTTTCCTTTGTCATTATGGGGTATTGTGTGTAGATTGATGAGAGAGAAAAAAACAATTGAATACAGTTTAGAATAAGGCTGTAACATATTTTTTTTGGAAAAAGTCAAGGGGTCTGAATACTTTCCGAATGCACTGTATATTCTCCAGACTTGCCCAGAGGGAATTGTTGATATGCTGTAAAATTTTATTCTAGGTAACATTATATTTTGACAAATTAAAAAAAGTATTTATTTAACAGATAGAAAGATGAAAAAAGTATTTATCCACAATCTGCTCTGGACAAGTCTGGATGAAAATATTTAGGCTGACTTCATCCAGTGTACAGAAAAAATTAATGTATGTGGTATGCACATATTTAATGAGACATTGCAACATTTGCATATTTGCTAAAAATTATTTATTATTATTATTATTCAACTGGTAAAAGTTGAAAAAATCCCTATTAGGGTGTGGTGCCTGACCTTAGTGTTCCAGCGGTGTGTTTGATCTGCGCATGTGTTAGCACCAGCCTAGTGAGCCTCACTCTTTAGCGCGAGTAAATTGAGTTTGGAACAACTGAATGTATGCGTCTTAGAAGTAGTTTTAACATACAAACTTTATATGTCCGTACTCAAATCAAATATGCTTCCCAAAAATAACATGGTCACTGCTGTAGAATGTTTATTTTGATTGGCGATTTTCTGCATTCATCAGTGCTATCAGGTAGCCTGATTTCAGATGTGTCCATGTAAACAGGATTATTAATATAAACGTTTTAATCAAATTATTATATTAATCCGACAAGCCACAATAATCACATTATTGTGCGCATGTAACCGTACTCGTTGAGTAGTTGAAATTATTGAGTTTTTTACTCCAGCTATCAAAAAGTTTTAGTTTTTTTGTTTCTGCTGGTGTCTTTTTATAAATGTAATAAATTATATTCTGAATGTGTCAATCTTGTGGGTTCACTGTTTTACTTATTCTATAAGAGATTCCTATTTCTGCCCTTGCAAATTTGGTGCTCACTTTTCTAGTATTTACGGTAACCAAAAATGTGACAATTAGCTAGTTTGCCAAACCTTTGTGAAGCTAACCACAATAAGGATTAGCCACAATAGTGGGATTTGCGGTTCGCCTTCAAAATAAAAGTTCCCAATTGAAACCGATGCAAATGGATACAAATAGTGGAATAATGCCACATTTTGGACTAGATGCTAAACAAGGTTGGAATGTTCTATAAATCAAACAAAAGAGAATTAGTTAATTTGGCTCCATTCACACCATTGTCAAAGTCCCGCAATAAGTGCTATGGCGCTAATATTTGTGTAAACTTTTCACTTATGTTTTGTGGGTGTCACTGAGAAGGCTGATACCCTATTTCATAGACCCAAGATCCAAATGCAAGGCTGTACAGTGAAATAAGTATGCCCCCATTCAATTCTGAAGTCTAATACATTCACTGTGCGATTTCAACAGATTTTCTAACTTTTTGGGGTCAAATTAACTCATTGTCTTTTGTTGAATTTATTTACCAACATTCCAGCCTTGTTTAGCATGATCTAGTCCGAATATGGCATTATTCCACTATCTGTATCCGTTTGCATCAGTTTCAATGGGGGACTTTTTATATTGAAGGTGAACCGCAAATCCCACTATTGTGGCTAATCCTTATTGTGGCTAGCTTCACATAGGTCTGGTTTGCTAGGTTTATTTTGGAGACATATTTAAAGATGCAATATGCAATTTTGGGTGGGCGACCCGACCAAATTCACATCGAAATGTGAGTTATAGATCTGTCCTTCTCATTGAAAGCAAATCTAAGAAGCAGTAGATCTGTTCTATGTGCGATATTTCTTTTTGTTTTTGCTTCTTTTTACGTTCGGTTTTGTACACCAACTTCACAAACAGCTGAAAATACTATGTTTTTGGTTATGGAAAACATATTTCACAGCAGTTTAGATGGTACAATGATTCTCTACACAATACTTGCTTGTTTTGTCACAAAAACGTAAATTAGGCGAAGTTTTTGAATTTTTGCGATCAGGAAATGGCGGAGAGATTCCTGCATAGTGCACCTTTACATTTTGGTTGATGGGTCTATGGCTGATGTAGCTAGCTTTTAGAATAACAATTGCTAACATTCATAGACTTCTAACCATAGACATTAAGACCTGTAGATAGTGATAGCACTGTCAACATCCATGTATTCCTATGGAAAACTCCCGATGGCGCATGAAGCCATCGGGACTATTTTAATTTGAAGCGTGCCATGAATTGAGGTATAGGAAGAACATTAATGGCACCAAAAATGTGCTGATGATCATGGTGAAAGTGGCCGTAACTAGCAAATGATCACGGTCGATGTAATCATTTTCACCCTGCCTGAGAGTCAATCTGGAGCCTCCTCGAAGTCTATGTCAGCACGTTGTCCTGTGTGAATGGTTCACTATCTTATTAAATATCTCGAGTTGTAGCGAACTTGAAAATAATTCACAGTGCGCATTGAACTTCATCATAATAAACACATTTTAAAAGATCCCAAAACGGGTGTCTATAAAAATGTTGTTTGGCTGTTCTGGCGATTGTAAATTACATAGCCTTTCTATGGCAGACCAGGGCTTTTGGCACCGCTAGATTGCTAGCAGAACTCTTGACTGGGGGCCTGCGTGTAACATTGGACGCGTTCGAGCGGATCACTTTTGTCAAGTCGGTGACTAACGTTTGTAACCGCCTTTCAAAGTGTGTTGCATTATGGGGTTAGAAATTGTCAGACTTGCGCCTGCGCGTCGACTGAAGTTTTGACTGCAGTCGACTGCAAATTTCTGCAGTTGATCTTCACCAACTTCTTCCT